AAGCTCTTATTCTCCTCCTTTCATGAAACAGGCAGAAATTCCTAGAAGTTTATAGAAGATCATTTATAGAAGATAATTTCTATAATTCACCTTTCAAGGCCAGATGCTCACTAGAAAGACTCGGCTACATTGATTCCTATACCACTCATGTGAGAGCTGGACACCACCATCTGCCAAGTGCCCATGTAAGGTGAAGTCATTAGATTGCCACAGGTAGAAATGAAAAAAATAAAAAAGCAGCAGCATTTTAGGAACTTGATATTCAAGTTCCTGAAATAAGACCAACCAGGCTCTTGCATTTAAATAGGAAAACTTTTCTTCTTTTACTCCTGGGAATCCACGGACTCTGCGATCATAGAATCTCCATCCATTTAACTTCAAGGCTTTTTCTAAAAAGCCTTCCTAGAAGATGGACCTTCAAAGCCAATCGCGAAATTTTTAAGAATTTCAGAAAAGCTCAAAAGTGATTTCTAATAAGACTTCTAGAAAGGATTGATGGAATATGCAGCAAAAGTCACCTTCAAGAGGGACCTTAAATTACAGCTTGATATGTGACCTTACTTTATCTTGGGCAAGTTGTGTCTTCTAGTGTGGGGTCCACACGAAGTTGTCTCACAACAGCAATCATTACAGTGTTGCAAGATCCCTCTCTGTGTTGGAGATAACACTTGCATATGTACTGTTCCTTATGCAGTGCCTTTTGACGAAAGGTTCACAGATTGTAGGAAAAAAGAAATCACCTAGGTGGGGTGAAAAGCCCCAGAGAGTAAGTTAGAAGACATAATTTTAATTCAATGTTGGCCCTTGTTATCTGGTGGGACAGGCAGGCAGTTAGGTACAGTGGACTACCATCTGAACGGTTTATGGACTAAACTCAACCAGAGGCGCTAGGAAGACAAGCTTGTCCATTTACAAAGGTCACAACCTTGAGAACTTCACGAAGCAGTCCTACACTGCTCACATAGGCTGGCCACAGTACCTGGCTAAGGTGCATTTCTAGAATACATTTTATAAAATGAGATATTTTGGATTAAAGAGTATAGATGATCCTAAATGTTAGATAATTTAATATAAAATATTGGCTATTGAGATAAATGAAATAAAAAGGGTTCAGATGTAGACATGTATTATATTAAATCTGGGTGGTATATTTAAAAAGTATTCATTTTCTAATTTTGGTTCATTATATATATTGTTTAGAGCATTCAGAATGTACATATATTTATTTCTAATCTTTTAAAAATGTAAAGTCTACATAGCCAACTGAGCACCATTATAGCAAAATAGCAAATGAAGAGTTAATTGTGTGTGTGTGCGTGTGTGTGCAGCACATTTGTAAGAGCTCTACTATATTAATTTATTGAATTTGGAAGCCAGCCTGTGAGGTTTAGTACAGTTAGCAATGAATCAATTCTGACTCATGGCAACGCCAGGTGTTTAAATAAACCCATAAACACGATAGGTTTATTTTCAGAAGTAGATCACCAAGATTTTCTTCCAAGGCAACACTGAGGGGGATTCAAACCACCAACATTTTGATTGGCTGAGAGGCACATAAACCTTTTGCATCAGCCAGAGAAACTCCACAATATGAGGTAGATTCTTTTACTGTCCCCACTTTACAGATAGTAAAAACTAAGGTAAGGAGAAAGTAAGCATGTAGCTTGCTGGGAGCAGAGCCCAGGACTCTTAACCATTAGGCAACAGGCATTTCATCTGTGTTACTGATACACAAAATATAACACTTAAATGGTACAAGGTAAACAGAATGAGACCCAGTACATAATTAGATTGTGAGCAAAAAATATTTTAACAAAAATATTAAACTGCAAATCTTAGTTGTGCCAATGTCTTTGCCAAGCTTGGGGAGGAAGTCCATTTTAGACCCTTTTTAATGTCAATTGCACAGTTAGTCTAGAATTCACTCACTCACTGCCACTGAGTTGATTCTGACTCATAGGGACCTTATAGGGCATGGTAGAACTGTGCCTGTGGGCTTCCAAGACTGTAAATATTTATTGCAATACAAAGTCTCATCTTTCTCCCGAGTCTAGAGCTCCAAAAAAATTAAACCCCCTGCCATGAAGTCCATAGTGACTGTCCTATAGGACAGGATAGAACCGCTTCTGTGTTTCTGAGATTCTTTTTTTTTTTTAATTTTAAAATCAACTTATTTTTATTCATTTTATTGGGGGCTCTTACAACTCTTATAACCACTCATACATCAGTTGTATCAAGCATATCTATACATATGTTGCCATCATAATTTCGTAAACATTTACTTTCTATTTGAGCCCTTGGTATCAGCTCCTCTTCCTACCCCCTCGAGACCCCTTTATAAATTATTATTGTTTTCATATCTTACACTGACCGCTGTCATCCATGTTTCTGTTGTTCATCCCCCTGGGGATTACGCATTGATCACTGCAATTGGTTCCCCCTTCCTCCCCTCTTCCCCCTAACCTCCTGGTATCGCTACTCCCATTTCTGATACTGAGGAGTTTATCTGACCTGGATTCCCTGAGTTGTGAGCTCTTATCTGTACCAGTGTACATGCTCCGGTCTAGCCAGAGGTGAAAGGCAGAGCCAGGGTCATGATAGTGGGGGGTGAGGAAGCCTCAAAGAACCAGAGGAATATTGTGTTTCATCTGTGCCATACTGAGCCCTGGTTGACTCATTTCTTCCTTGTGACTCTTCTGTGAGGGGATGTCCTATTTTCTACAGATGGGTTTTGGGTCTCTGTTCCAACCCTCCTCTTTCTCAACAATGTTTTCTTGTTCTGTTTTGTGTCTTCTGATGCCTGTTACCTGACACCTCATGATCACACAGACTGGTGTGCTTCTTCCATGTGGGCTTTATGCTTCTCTGCTAGATGGCTGCTTGTTTAACGTTATGCCTTTAAGACCCCAGACATTTTATCTTTTGATAGCTAGGCACCATCAGCTCTTTTCATCACATTTGCTTATGCACCCATTTTGTTTTCAGTGAGCATGTCGGGAGGGTGAGCATCACAGAATGCCAGGTTATTAGAACAGAGGGCTTTTGCATTGAGGGAGGACTTGAGCAGAGACCCAAAGTCCGTCCACTTCCTCAATGTATTACCATATAAATATATGTACATAGGCCAATACCTCTATTTTTATGAATTAATATGTTTACATAAGTGCACACCTATGCTTATACCTCTGTCCATAGCTTTGCTTCCTAGATCTGTCCTTCTGTTTCCTTTGACTTTCCTCCTGCCCCACTATCATGCTTGCCCTTCTTCTGCCTCTTAGTAATTCCTCTCAGCTAGATTGCTGTTGCTCCAACACCTCCGGAAACTCTACGTCCTCCGAGACTGTAGCTCTTCACTGGAGTAGAAAGCCTCATATTTCTCCCAAGTCTAGAACTACTTGACATGAAATAAAGCCAATCCATGCAAGGGCCTGGCAACCGATGGCCCTGAGAGGGGCATGAACCCAGGAATTAATGCACCACCCTCACTGCACTCCAGGGACAACGAGGAGCCATAGCGGGGCTGCCAGCTTCTGAAGGGAGTGTGGCTCCTATCCAAGGCAGGTGAAAAACCAAAATCTCAGCGCCATCAAGTCGATGTTGAGTCTATGGGACCAGGTAGAACTGCGTGAGTTTTCAAGACTGAAACTGTTTCTAGAAGTAGAAAGCCCCGTCTTTCTCCCGCAGAGCGACTGGTGGCTTTGAACTGCTGACTTTGCTCACCACAGCCCCAAGGAACCACACCACCAGGGTTCCTGGTCAGTGAAAACTTGGGGTGGTGGTGGGGCTCTGACATTCTGAAAAGGTAAGGGAGATAGATGTTCTACTCCACAGGTGCCTCTTTCGGGTGTGAAACCCTGCATACACCTTCTTTTCTCCACTGCGTCCACTCTGTGAGAGCAGAGTGCTTCTCTGAGCTCCTAGCCTAGGGTCCCTCCACTTTGGGCTAGCCTGGACCTGGGCCATCAGCCCTCTGACCGATCAGAGCTCACCTTCAACTGGGGCGCCTAAGCCCGGACTCCTTGAGGGCCAGGAATGGCGCACCCAGAGGCGGGAGTGTGAGGGTGCGGGGAGGCGAGCATCCAGACTATTCAAGGGCTACCCCCTCCCCAGCCACCCTACCCTAGATCTTCAAGGGAGGATGGGGAAGGGTAGGCTGACCCCTCACACAGATGCCTAATGCCACCGCTGCTCGCAGCTTTGGGTCCACCCACTATCGTGAGGGGTTCCATTTGGGAAGGGGGTGTGCAACGCCGCACTGGGGGGGGGGGCGTGTGCTTACTTCACAGATCCCCACAACGACCCGTTTCCGCACCCCCAGAGCTCTGCACCTCCTCCTTCTCCGCTCCGGTCTCCGCAGCCTTGGGCGCCGGCCTCAGCGCAGCCCCCAGATTGGGGTTCTTTGAAGAAGCGCCCGCGCCCGAGCCATAGTGGCGTGGGCAAGATGCAGGAGCGGGCTCTATCCAGTGGGTCTGCAAATACGTTAAGGCCGAAGCCCAAGAGAAACGCGCCCTTCACGCGTTCCGTGGACAGGCTGCTGCTTGAGGCTTGGCGCTCTCCGCTACGGCCCTTGCCGGGTCACTGTCCTCGCTTGGGAGTGGTCTCCTCTCTCTCCCCATTACCCTTCGCCCGCAAGCCCCCCGCGCCCCCCCTCCGTTTTAATCTGCGCACTGAAAATCACCGCCGCTCTCCACGCGCCCGAGTTTCCGACAGGGGCTTCAGTCAGCTAGCTTGCATTTTAGATTTTAAAGGCAAAGCGCGCGCGCCGTTGCCACCGGCGGGCTCGGTGGAAACTGGTTCTGGTGGCTGTACGCCTCCCTCAGACGACACACATTCAGCCTACACCCCCAAATCTGCACGGGCTATCGGGGGTGCTGGGTGGTCTCAGGGCCGAGGACCTGGACCTGCTGTAAGCTGTAAGCCACATTGGAGCGGGGAGCGGGCCGACGCGCACCGGCTCGCGGAGCCCAGGGGCTGGGGCCCAGGAGAAGCGGGGTACTCACGGTGCCCCCGCGGTCCACTCCCGGGGCGGCTGGGCGGTCGCCGCCTTCTCCGGTGCGCATGCGTCTTGAGAGCGTCTGCGTTAATTCGAAAGATCCGGACCTCCGGGTGCCCAGCTTTCTACTGCCTCGCTCCGGGGCTCCTGTCTCCTCCCCACTCCCTCCCTCCTCCTCCGCGAGGCCTTCCCCTCCCCCATCTCACTTTTGCCCGGGGTACCGCCCACCCCCCCATCCCAGTTCCGGCCTCTCTCCGGCTGGGGGCGCACTCAACAGCGGTTCCTGGGCTCAGGAATCTCCTGTATCCCGGGGGACCTGGAGCCCGGGAGTGTCACTCACCGCCTTGGCGAGTGGTGGCAGAGCAGGGAGGGACCAGTGGGGGAAACTGCCAACTGGGGTTTGTGACTGCGGGGGTCGGAGGTGGGGTGGGCTTTGGGGGCTTGGCGCAGCGAGGGCGCTGATTCTCCAGGAAAGCGCGGCACTGGGACTGGATGGTTTATTTTTCTTAAATAATTTTAAAAAATCATTTTATTGTAACAATCCATAAATCCATTGTGTCAAGCACATTTGTACATGTGTTGCCATCATCCTTTTCAAAACGTTTTCTTTTTTAAAAAATTAATCATTTTATTGGGGGTTCTTTAAAGGGCTGGGGGGGCCACGCCTAGAAAGGACTGAACCCTTCCTCAGGGTAACCTCTGACCGCAGACCCACCGAGGCCCTCGGCAACCGCTCCTGCTCCATTCCCTAGGGGCCCGTGGAGCCCAGGAGAGGCCAACGGGGGTCCAGGGGGGCGGCGGAGCCTGCGGCCCAGGCCTACAGGTCCCGAGGGTCGTGCGGCCCTGTAGCCTGTGGGGTACGGCCACGCCCCGGCCCGAGAGCCCGAGCTCTGAGGGGAGCCTCGTGAATCTGCCACAAACCTAGCAGCACGTCATTGCCTCCCCCGCCCCCCCTCACCTACGACCCCCCTGCAGCCTCCGCGCGGGGAGCAGGAACGCACGCAGGGCGGGGGCGCAGAGGAGTGTGGGCTCCGGGGAAACGGAGTTGGAAACGCAGCCTGCGAAGGAAGCGTGAGGGCTCCGCCCTCTTCCGAGACCCGGGAGGAAAGGGCGCCGGAGAAACAACGTCGCCTCCAAAACCTTCCGGGCGAGGGGGCGGGGTCGCTGCCCCTTCCTCCCGGCGCCGGCCGTGCCCCCGGGGTGGAAGGGGTCCGCCCAGGTGAAGGGGGAACCCGGGGCCTGGGTGGAGGGGAGGGCGGGGTTTAGACCCCGGTACTCACCGGCCGCCCGGAGCCCTGCGCTATGCGGTGGTCCCCGGTCCCGGCCTCCGAGAACCAGCCGGCAGATGGGCCCGGGGGGCGCCTGGCAATGCCAGCGCTGCTCGAAACAGGAGCGAGAGCCTACCGCGCCGCGCGGGGTGTCCCCGAGAGAGCCCGGCCTCTGGCGGGGCGGGGAGCCCGCGGGAGAGGTCCCGGCGCCGCCCGGGCTTCTCCGAAGGAACTTGCCGGAGGTGGTGAGCAAAGAGCTGCGTGAGGTCGGAGAACCAGCTAGAAAGCAGGCCCTACAACTTCTGGGCCGCGGTCGAACTTGGAATCTGCGCCGGCTGCAGACGGGAGGAGGGAGAGAGGAGGGAGGAAGGGAGAGAGAAAGAGAGAACCGGTTACCGTTACTGTTACATCCCGCCACAGAATGAAGAAAATTTAACCCTTAAATGGACTCCTTACTTTAGAGCTACAGAAACGAGGTCGGTGAAAGCTAAATGAAAAGCCCTTGGTTCGATGGTCTTGAGTCCCTGGCTCTCTGACTTCGTGCTACTTGGCATATTCCTTGGACCACTGCTTTGGTAACATCTGGGGCGGTGTAGACGCCTAGGACCAGCCCCCCCCTCCCCCCTGACCTCTAGAATCAGACTGCAAGTTAACATGCCCAGGGCATTGGTATGCACCCTAAGCACCTACACTTGGTTATTTAAAATTTAGAGAATTCCCTTTTGCAATTGTTGCTTTCCCACTCTCTGTGTGATCGCCTCCCCATCCCCGTGCTCCCGCCCCCTTACCTCGCCCATCTCCTGAGAAGCCCAGCATGGGGCATTTGGCTATAGTGAGACAGAGCGCTAAGGAGACCCGCACAGTTGCAGAAAGTGACTCAGGGAATCCAGCCCCACCTCGGGTAGGGTCGGGAACAGATCGGCCCATTTGCCTGACTGTGCTAGGGTCAGCTGGGGGTAGACTCAATGTTGGGGTCCTTCCTTCAAACGAACGTCTTACAGGCGCTCTTCTTCACCCCTACCATATTCTTGGGAACACGGAATTTCGTCTTACAGCTCCCACAGGTTGCTTAGAAAACCACAACAGGCAAGTGAAGGTAAACATGTTTTTCTTGGAGATGGAGGCAAGCGTTCTGTTAACAGCCCAGGTTCTAGACTTAGTCCCTTGTAAGGTCCGCTGCTCTGCTCCGGGCTCTGAGTTCTGAGACTTTCTTCCGGCTGTTTGTCCATTAACATTTACTATAAATGCACACACAGGAGCTTAACTCAACCAAACCACTCTCTTCTAGCAAAACAAAAAGACGGTTTAATCTCTCCGTGAAAAAGCAAGAGAGATGGTTGCCAAGAAAAATAAAAGGTAGGGGCAGGAAGCAGCGTGTGAGTGTTGTGGAGTCATTTGGCGCCGAAGTGGATCAGTCGGAGCGGGTGGGACAGGCTCCAGGCGCATGGTGGCTGCTCTCCAGGGTTCTGACGGCCGGAGCGATCTGGTGGCTTTGAGTCCTGGCGAGGTGGCCGCTGATCTGCAGTAGTCATCGATCGCCAGGCTAGGTAAGTTTTCCATGGGTGCTGAAGGCTGGTAGGAATCGACTGTCGACGGGAAGAAGGAAAGCGACAGCCCTATTCTCATTCATGAGACGCTTTCGGGGTCACTGCCAGCGAGCGCTGGCTGATTTGTCTCCCGCTGCGCTCTCCCCCATTCCTTTCCGTGGGGAAAGGGGGCCCGTGTCCCAGGGCTTTAATGCTCGCTATTCAGACGCTCCCCTCCCCGCCCACATTTTCAGCCGCAGATCTTTTAGGGTAGGCGTGGGAGCTGGGAGTCAGGAGGGGTCCTGGAGAAGCGCCCACAGCACCATGAGGGGGTGGGGTGGGTGATTTGGGAAGCACAC